GAGGGAGGGAGGGAGGGAGGGAAGGGAGGGAAGGGAGGGAGGGAGGGAGAGAGGGAGAGGGAGAGAGGGGGGGGGTTCCCTCAAAGTTTAGACTGGAATAAAACAAACTCACAGAAAATATTATTAAACAAAACTCATATTTTTTACCTAATGCTAAAGTCTATACCTCCCATAGTATTACTATTTTAAAGGGAGAGCTCATCCAGGGGGTTTTATGATAAACTCGAAGGGCCCAGGGGGCTGAGGCTAGTAGAAAATGCAGGTTTAGAGGCATGGAGACCAGAGACCTAGCTCTGTGTCAGGAACAAGAAACCTACCAATAGTCAGCCTGGGACCCAGCAAGCACTGCTCACATGTCCACAAGTCTTTTCTGGCTGTATTTGCTACTACCAGGCAGGAAGGAGAGGTCAACTTTTAGAGAATGACAGCCCTACTAGCATCAAATCCTTCCCCAATGTGGTTACACCAAGCCCACATGGCTACCTACAGACCTTAAAGCTGAAATCCAAAGTGAAACTAGGCATCACTGGAGCCTACTGGAGGGGAACTGCCCACAAGAGGGCACTCCTAAAACAAAGACTTGCTATCCTGCTTGGCAACTGAAGATTTTAGGTTTCAAGTACCTCCAGAGTTGAATTAAAGAACAGGTTATGTGAGATCAAAGCCGTTCTTTGGAGTTTTGAAGGATCATTAAGAAAATTAGAGCTTTATTTAATGGTCTTTAATTTCCATGACTGTGGACTTAAATTGCCTGTGGATTTTTTTTCCTAATTCTAAAATAATAGTCTTCTTACTGGGTATTTGTCTAACATCAAAGGAAACTTGACTTGGAATAGTAATAGGCCTGATATATTTGCTCAATACACTTTTATATTAAGAAAGAAGAAGAGAGGGAGAGGGGGGAAGGGAAGGAGGGCTGAAGGGAACTCACCAGCATTAACCTAGCTAACATCTTTCTACTTCTACCTCGCTGTCAGCTCACTATTTATGCCTGAAATAGTAGCGTGGAAACTTTACGAAATATTCAAACTTGAAGCCCTTTTAGAAGCAAGCAGTCTTAAAATTAGAGAAGAGAGATGATCCATTTACTAGAGGATTTTAAAGGTAGATATTTTTCTGTATACTTTTGACTTAACAGGAAGTAAACGATAGTGCTTACTAACATTATCTTGGGGACATTTTAGTTTTATAATTCAATGGAACAATCACAAGTTACTTACATGATCGCAAGGCAACTGTGAAAGAGATGCCTACACATATACCTGAAGTATGTATCGCAATCAGAAGCACTTTTCACAAATCTGTAACTAATTTCTAATAGAGATAAAACCCTGTTCCTGACTCTCATTGCAGTCCAGCAGATAGCATATGTTCCCATAAATTAACCACTATCAATAAATGAGTTCACGCAGTCAGCAAACCAAGTCACCATGCCAAGTCCCGCAACACTGTTGTAACTCCTCCATCCCTAGGCTCTTCCTTCATGCCACCCTCTGCTTCCCAAAGACTTCAAACTCAGGTTAAATGGGGGAAGACAGAAGCTCACAAAATAAGATAGAAGAGAGGGTCTTCAAGGTTCTTCATTAATCCTGTGTGGAAGACATTCTGGAAATACTACAATGCACTCACTTTCCCTTCGACCCCTACCTTCCAATTAGGTTCTTCCCACCTGGATTCCAGTGTTCCTGGTCTTCAATTCCTCTCCAGATTCCTTGTTGTCAACATTGACTAATCCAGCCACCTGCACACACTCACTTACCCACTCTCACTAATTATTCTAACAGGCTGCCCTGTCCACGTGCTAGCTAGAATATGAAGAAAGGATTCCTTTCCCTCTACATCCTTAAGACACTTCAGTGCCATTCCTACCTCCCTGAAGCTCAGCATAAGCTCTCAAAATTGCCTACTATTAAGTCAGGGAGGTCTATGAATTTGAGCATGTTACTAAAGCTTAGTGACTATCTTTGATAAAGAAAAATGAAGCTAAAATAGAATCATTTGGTTCTTGGGAGGACTAAAGACAGCACACATGAACACCAAGTAGAGTATCCAACACCAGTGCAAACTCAACCACAACCAGAAGCTCCTGCTTCTTCTGCCCACCTCTTCTCTCTGCACAACTTCCATCCCCATCATAGTCATTTTTTTTCCCTGATGCTTGACTCAACATCTTCTGGATACAAATTCCAGTCTTCCAACTGTAACATTTACATGGCCTCAGAAAGACAATCTTCTCAGAAGGATGGCCAATAGACACATGAAGAAATGTTCAACATCCCTAGCCATAAAAGAAATGCAAATCAAAACAACATTGAGATATCACCTCACCCC